AAGATGCCGCACCCTCAGACCAAGGAGATGATTGAGAAAGGTAAGGAAGGCCTCCTCGGGGTGGGCCAGGGCCGTGGCGCCGTTCTTGGGAGTCACATTCTTAACCCAGAACCGAGCTGGAGCCTGGGCAGCTGTGTTACAGTTCACACTGGTGTGGGCTTTAACCCCTGCCCTGCCCTGGGCCTGCTGTGTCGCACAGCACAGTGCCTGCTCATCAGAGAGGAACTCGTTGGGTTACAAGTAGCAGAAAACCCAACACATTGAGGCTTCAGGAAAATAAGGATTCGGGGTTTCACGCATGAGAGATGCCTCAGAGGAGGGCAGGTCAGGACCGGCACAGTTGCGCAGCGTCGGCACCTGAGCGTTTCCCGTGCGTCATTACAGACTGCGTGTCTTGCCAGGCTGGAGGAGAGGCTGGAGGCTCTCTACTGTGGCCTCTCTTTTTAGAAATAAAGCCATCCTTCCCACGGGCTTACTGCCAATACCTTATTGCCCAGAACAAGTCCCATGGCACTCAGCTGCAGAAGACCCTGGGACCGTGAGCTTTTATTTTTCCTGTTCACTGCAGTAGAGACTGTTGAAATGGAGGTGTGGGGAGAGTGAACCTAGGAGTGAGGACCGTCCAGCCCTCCCGCACGTTTTGGTCTGGCCCTGCCAAGGCAGCTGCAGGTGGGACTCGGAATTCAGTAAGTCTGTAGGAGGCTAATTAAGATTATTTCAAAGAGTTAGGTCTTCCATTCCACTGGTTTACTCCCCAGATGACCTCAAGGGCCAGAGCTGAGCTGAGACCAGGAGCTTCCTCAGGGTCTCCAACGTGGGCACAGGGGCCCAGGGAGTTGGGCCATCTTCTTTCACAGGCCATATTGGAGAGCTCGATCAGAAGAAGAACAGCCGGGACTTGAACCAGCGCCCATATGGGATGCTGGCACTGAAGGCTAGAAGGCTAGGCTAGGGCTTTTGTTTTTTTTTTTTTTGACAGGCAGAGTGGACAGTGAGAGAGAGAGACAGAGAGAAAGGTCTTCCTTTGCTATTGGTTCACCCTCCAATGGCCGCCGTGGTCGGTGCACTGCAGCCGGCGCACCGCACTGATCCGGAGCCAGGTGTTTTCTCCTGGTCTCCCATGCAGGTGCAGGGCCCAAGGACTTGGGCCATCCTCCACTGCACTCCCTGGCCACAGCAGAGAGCTGGCCTGGAAGAAGGCAACCGGGACAGAATCCGGCGCCCCTACCAGGACTAGAACCCGGTGTGCCGGCGCCGCAAGTAGAGGATTAGCCTATTGAGCCGTGGCGCCGGCCTGAAGGCTAGGGCTTTAACCCTCTGTGCCACAGTGAAGGCTGCTAGGAGGCTAATTTTTAAGTTGATTTTATAAGGCCCACGAATTATGTTTTATAAATATCCACATTACCCTAGACAGAAATAAAGGTTCCCCACCCCTGCTGTGGGGTCTGCCAGTCTGGGCACTCAACATGTGCCACTCGAGTTTCTAAAGACCATTAGATCCTGGGAACTCTGGAAAAGTATCTTAAAGGCACGAACTTGGGCTGCAAACAGCTCCCTGGCTGGGAAAAGGGCAGGTCACTCCCACTGGGAGTCGGGGCCTGGCCTGTTTTGGGCAGGGCCTGGCCTTCCTCAGTGCTCTGGGAGCTGGCAGCCCCACTTGCAGGTCAGTCTGTCCAGTATGGCCTTACCGTCTGCCTGCCTCTTTCAGATCAGGACCATCTGGATAAAGAAATAGACAAACTGCGGAAACAACTTAAAGTGAAGGTCAACCGCCTCTTTGAGGCCCAAGGTATTGGCTGCGGGGCCGGGGTGGGAAGCCCCTCAGTGGTGGGCAGTGGCGGTACAGGCAGTGGCTGTCTGCAACCACCCAGAGACAGAGTGGGCTTAGTCAGGGGATCGAGGTCAGAGCTGAAACTTAGAGTAGATCGAGCACTCCAGATCAGTCACAGATCTGGCAAAAATCTGGAGCTCTCTGGGTGTGCAGTCTCATGACTTTGCAGGTTCGTGGTGACCCAGGAGCAGGTGCATTGCAGAATTTGAGGCCCATCCTGCCAGAACCCAAGGCCGACTTTGGCAGCATTTGTGCCGTGCTAGCCGCTTTCCTGGGCCTGTTGCCAGAGCCAGCAGTAGGGTGGACAGCAGGAGGCCCATGTGCTGATGGATTGCTTTCTCCCTGTAGGCAAACCGGAGCTGAAGGGCTTTAACCTGAACCCCCTCAACCCAGCTGAGCTTAAAGCTCTCAAGGTCATCTTGAAAGGATGAAGCTCAGGTACCACCGTGGGGGAACTAAGACTGGCGTCCCCCGAGTCACGCAGGAGCCAGGACTCTCTAACCTTGAAAGCTACAAGGACGGCTACACACTGGCAGCAGCAGGCAGCCCTCTGGGGCACCATGCGAAGGCTTCATAGTGCTGGGCTACTTGGTGATGGCAGGAGGGCACCTCAGCCCACCTGTGTCTGCTGGGCCTGACGTCTGTGGCTCGGAGGACACAGGACCTATTGACGGGCCCTGGCGGCTGCAGTGGGTGTGTGTGGGTGAGTGACTGCACCAGGCACTTCCTGACAATGGCCTGTTGTTCACATGGCGCCGGGCAGGAGAGGCAAAGCTGGATCCTTGGTCCAGCCCTCGTCTCAGGGGAGATGCCAGGCAGGCAGCATCCACGGTGGAACTGGAATAGATCAGGTGGCTTCTGAATGAAGGACACTCAGTGCTTTGTGCAGCTCGGGGGGGGCGTGCGCACATGCGTCCCCTGCTGGCCCCAGGGCGTGGGTGCTGCTTAGACCCCTGTGGGGGAGGGGCGCCCCTTCATCACCACTTAGAGGCCTGGCTGCCTTCAGCATCTGGGCTCCTCATGGGCAAGAATGTCCTGCTTGTGGAGGACTCAATAAACAGTAGTAAAACAGTCGGTTTCTAGCGCTTTCTCACTCGGTCCTCCATGGAGTGCGCACCAGTCCTTTGAGAACCCCACATGGGGGCAGCTGTTGAAGCATCAGGTAGGAGACTAACATCCCATGGCCAAGTGCCTGGGTTCCAGACTCTGCCGCCAATCCCAGCCTCCTGGCTGATGTGTACTTTGGGAGGGAGCAATGATGGTGCAGATGCCTGGGCCCATGCACAAGGGAGACGCGCACAGGTGGAGTTCCAGGCTCCCGGGATCAGGCAGCAGGGACTCACAGCTGACAACGTGCAGAGGGCACACTTTGCCCGTTCCCCTTGTTCCACGGCCTGACTGACTGTGGTAAGGACAGCCTGGTAGGACCAGATCAAGTATTTTTCAAGAGCTAGAAATCTGGGTTGCTGAGTCTCCCGATTCAGAAAAACATGTAAAAACGTGGGTGTTTGTCGAAACACCTTACAGGAGAGGCCTGTAGAAGTGACGCATTCCTCACGATAACCCTCTGATGGAGGGAGGTGGAACTAGAAACTAAGTGCCCATCCGCAGAGGATGGCTCCAGACAGTGCAGTACTGTGCAGCACTGACCAAGGCTAAGGCAGGTACTTGAGCACGGACTTGAACAAGCACCACACTGAGAAAAGCAAGGGGCAGAGCAGGTGTGTGATGAGCCAGTAGGTTGTGAGCGCATCCTTGGGGCAAGCTGCAGGTGGGGGAGGTCACAGTGCCGCCTTTTGTTAACTTGGGATTTTGAAACCCTACTGAGACATTTTAAACAAACGTGCAGGAGCAGGCGCCGCAGAATTCACAGCAGTAGACACCCTTTGTTGCGACTGCCTGGCTCCCGGCTTCCCCACAGGAACACTGCCCCTGCCTGCCAGGCAAGGTGGGTGCTGAGCTGAAGAGCCACTCAGCCCCTGCAGAGGCTGCCTGGGTGCGCCTTGGAGGAGCTCTGCTTCTGGGGCCAGCTGCCTTAACCCCGGCAGACTGTTGTTTGGAGCCAAAAGAACTGGCCTAAGGGAGGGGTGGGAGCACCGGGGTCTGCAGGCCCTCCCCCAGGAGGGGATACAGAATGTGAAAAGCACAGCTTTTCCTGCTTGCTCCTGGCCTCCCAAGCCAGCCTGCTTTCAGCCTGGGGCTTCACAGGTTCACAAGCTTAGCTTCCAGCCTCATACAGGGAGGCACCGAGGGGCGCCGGTGCTGCCAGCTGGCTTGGATGCGTTCTGCAGAGAGCACCAAGCAGCTCCGCCTTCCTGATCCTTGTCTGTGTGAGAAGGGGGCGGCTCCAGCCCAGTGCCTTTCAGCTGGTGGTCAGAGGGCCCATGGCTTGCCGCAACGTGCACGTAGGGTGTTTTGGTGAGAAGGTGCATGGTAGGGCTCAGTACTGCCCTGTCTCTCAGTGACCAGTCTTAAGCTGCGCTTGCGAACTCTTGCTCCCAAAAGACCCCTTTCAGCACTGACCTTGTAAGAAGTCAAAATGCCAAAGCCAGGGGTCTTGGCTGAGTTAGCAGCCTGCCCTGAGCCAGGCCGGTAGCAGAGACTTTCCAAGGAAGGCCTGTGCCCATTTATTAGATGTGGTCTCGGGTAGCGGGGCTCGCTGCAGCTGTCCTCCTTGGGCCTGAACAAGCCAGTCCGTCAGGGTTAAAGGCCATCCAGTTTCTGGGATTGGCTGTCTCCTGGGGCAAAGATGCCCGGGGGCGGGGAATCCAGGGGCCAGGCCAAGCAGGCTGCTTAGCCAGCAAAGTTGTTGCCAGGCCAGCGGGAGGGAGGGAGGGAGGCTGCTGCCGCCATGCTGGAATCGGGCTGGGGAGAGGCCGGGGCCTCCCAGGGCCGTTTTCTCCAGTGGTAGTGGGCCTCAGCCCGAGGATTTCTTCTGGACTTGCAGGGAGTGGAACAGCTGCCTCAGCTGTGCTTCCCGATCATTCACACAGCCTGCAGGGGAAGAGAGGTGGCTGGGAGGGCTTGTTCACTCACCCTCCGGTGGGGGAGGGGACGGCAGAGCTGTGCGGCCATGCATAGCCTGGTTTGCATCGTGCTCCGCTCCTGGGCTCCCGTGGTCCTCAGATGGGTCATTCAGCAGTTTGCATGTCAGTCTTCTCACCTGGAAACCAAGACAATGCTCCCTGCTTGGGGGAGTGGACTTACGGGTTCCTGGGTCTGCTTCAGGAGCACCCAGGTGGACACCCTGCTGGAGCCTCAGGGACTCGTGGACACGCCCTCCGCCCCAGATCACACAGTAAGTGGAGCTGGGATCTGCACCTGGGCTGTCTGGTGCCAGTCACGCGTCAGCTGCTGCCCTTCGCTGCCTTTGCTCTCGGCTTTGCTCAGTGGGACACAGCTGGCACCTGATGGGTGCCCAGTGATTGTTAGCTTACTTTGCTTACCCAGCCCACGTGCCAGGCACAGTTGGGCGAGAGAGGACTCTGCCCCCCGGTGGCCCCGGCAGTCCCAGCACACCTGCGCTCCTTCATTTCCCGTTTGCTCCCAGCTCTGGCCCTGGAGCCCACCTGTGGTCAGTTCATCTGGGCACTCATGGCCGCAGGTACTGACCTGGAGGTGTCTGCCGTCCTTTTTAGCCCCTCAAACCCAGTCACTGCCTCCTAGGTCTCACAGACCATGAGACGTCACCAAACTGAGAACCCACTGTGCGCATCCCCAGTGCTCTCCAAGTCCACACCAGGGAACCCCAGCTCCTTTCCAACTCTCAAATCGTCATGTCCAACACACAGCCCCTGGAATTCTAGACTGAGCTATCTCCTGATCTCACCTGGTGTGCCTGACCACATCACTCACTCTATGGTACTTTCCCCAGCCCCAGGCAGCTCCTCCTATGCTGACCACCATCCGCCTGCTCAGTGGGAAACTTGGGGATAATTCTAGAGGCTTCCAATGCAGTGGCTTCAGAGCTGGGAACTACTGACCGTGGTCCAGCCAGACCACTGCATCTGAAAGCTCCCCGGCGAGTCTGGGCTCACAGCCCACGGGAGACCCGGGTCCTCCATTTCTGCTCGGCAGCAGCGCTGATGGCTGCCGGTGCAGAGCTGGTGCCGCCGCCGCCGCCGCTGCCCTCCCCTTCCTGCACATGAGCCTCGCTGCAAGGCTGCGTCCCTGCTCCATCAAGGGCGGGGAGCCAACCAGGGGCCTTCGACAAGTTCATGGACAGATGAACGCAGCGTTCTCTCGTGGAGCCCTGAGAGCAGCACATGCAGCTGCCAGGCCTCGCCCGCTGGAGGCCCCGTACCTGTGAATGCGGCTGTCCAGGCTGGCAGGTCCCCGTGAATCCACCAGGCGCCTGCAGGCCTCCCAGTTACCCCAGGAGAGACCTGCAGAGCCCTCAGCAAACCAAGTCATTTGAAGCTGCCGGGCCGGGGGAGGTCTGTTACACCGCCAGTTACTGATTGGGAGCTTGTCAGAAAGGCTGCTCCTGGGCCCCGCCCCCACTCCTGAGTCAGTCCATGTTGTATAGAGTTCCAGTGACGCAGCCCCGGGGGTCGGCTGTGCCAGCATCACTCACAGGCTCCCTCTGCTCTCCGCAAGGCAGACTACTCGGCATCCCTGCAGTTCTGGCCAGCGAGATGCCAGCAGACGTCCCTGTGAGGGCTTCCTTTTGGGAATAAAAGAAGCCTTGACAAGAAGGTACTGGCTCTTACATCATCCTGTTTTTCCCACCTGGAACGAGGATGCGTTGTCCAGAGTTGAAGCAGTCATCTTGGAACTGTGAGGCAACAAGCATGGCCACTGAGCTGACCTGTCGCGCGTGCAAAGCAGGAAGAGGAAAAGCGAGGTCCCTGGGGTGGCGCACAGCCGTCATATCAGCCCTGGGCGTCCTACCCATGGCTTCCCGCGGCTCCAGACAAACCAGCCCCTCAGCTCACGATGGCTTCCAGGTGCTGGCGGCCAAACCCAATTCCAAGTCATACCAAACCCAAAAAAGATTTCATTCAAAATAAGGGGGACCGGCTCAGCGGGTTAATCTACCACTTGGGATGCCTGCATCCCATTATCAGAAGACCTGGTTCAAGCCCTGGCTACTCTGCTTCCAGTCCAGCTCCCTGCAGATGAGCCTGGGAGCAGGGGATGAGGGCTCAAGTACTCAAAGCCTTGCCACCCATGTAGGAGACCCAGATGGAGTTCCGGGCTCCTGGCTTTGGCCTGGCCCAGCTTCAGCTCTTGCAAACATTTGGGGAGTGAACCAGCAGATGGAAGATCTCCCTCTTTCTCCGTCTGTCACTTTGCCTTTAAAAAAAAAAAGCCAGGCACAAAATTTAAAAAGCAAATGACAAACTCAAGAAAGTATCTACCATAAGTTAGAGGGGTTGTATCTTTAGCATATTAATATCCGCAGACCTTACACACGTAGTACATTGTAAATAACCCATAGAAAAGCAGATGTGGAGTATGGCAGAAATACAAATCTAAAAAATTGAAACCACACCAGTAACCACTGGAATGCACACACAGTCACGAGTCAGCACTTCTGTGAAGTTGGCACAGTTTTTTCTTTGCAATCCACTGCCCGCAGATTTACCCAGTTTTTCTGGAAAGCAGTTTGGTTGTGATGAGTCCATGCTTTTGACCCAGCAATTCTACTTCTAGGAACCTGTCCTGAGGAAACAGCCCGGATTTCAGCCGCGCCGTGTGAGAAGATATTCCTCACAGTGTTATTTATAAAACGGGCGAAGTTGGAACTGTGCCAGATGTTCCGTTGTGAGAAGTTGGTTCCGTGAGTTTGGGCGGCCACTGCAGCTCGACTGCGGCAGCTGTATAGCAGTACGGTTTCTCACTCTGCCAAGGGGCAGGAGAGCACAATGGGCAGTCACTTGCATTTTGGAGTCAGGCCGACTAGCGTTCAAGCCCTGGCACACCACTTCCACCCGAGACTCCCAGGAAGCCGTGGGGCATCCAGAGACCATCTCCTCCCATCTAAAATGGCACTCAAAGCTGCCCTAGGTGAAATGAGATGTGTGTAAAATATTCAGTCAACACCTGGCCAAAAGTGCTTCCCATGGGAGGCTGCTGTTAGGACTCCCGCATGGAGAACAGCTCGTGGGAGAGGGCCCCGGAGCTCAGCCCGACGCCAGTGTTGTGAAAACGATGCGGTTCTGAAAACTGGAAGGAGATACGCCAGATTGTGAACGACATTTGTCTGCCTGGCTTTTTAAAAATTTCCTTTAGTTTTCAAATATTCTACAGCGAGTGAGAACAGTTTGTATAATTGGGGATGTTTTTTCACTTTTTAGAAACCAAATTTAAAGTCCTGAAGTCCTTGATTTCTGTTGAATTTTGTCTTCCGCCTAAGCCTTTTGGAGTCCACCTCCTGACAGGTTAATAATGACCTCCCTCTGCACGCCGGGCCACGTTCTAGAGCTCAGGGAGACTATTCCACGTCTGCCTTACAGTGAGGAGCAGAGCGGCCAAGTCCCCTGCTGAGGTCACACAGCGGGCGCTTTGCAGGTAGAGTTCGGACGAGGTGACCACCACGCCCAGCTGCCTGCCAGACCGCGGGCCACACTTCACACTTACCGAGGTGCGTGTTGGTCACAAAGTTCCCCACTGGGTCAGGAGCCCCCTCCTCTCTGCTGACAGGGCCGTCGTTCCACATGAGGTCAAAGCCCCCGACTCGCTTCTCCCTTCCCGTGAGTCTGGACAGGCAGGGGGTGCAAGGGTTAAAAGAGGTCCACCCGATGGGTTCCCAAGACCCAAGCCGGGCCCCAACCCCTCCTGAATCCTACGTGCCCTCAGTGACAAGCACCTGCTAGGGCTTCTATGTAGTCTGGGGTGAGGCCTGTCGTGTTCGCCACTGTAGTCCTGTGTGTAGCACAGGTCCACACGCAAGGGGCTCATGCATTTGTTGAACGAATAAGTGACGGTAGGTCTGTGGATGCTGAGGTTTGTCTGCCCAGCATGTTTCACCTCCAGTCCAAGGGTAGCTCAGCTCTTTGAGAACCCTTCCTTCCACCTTCACCCACAGCACTCAGGTGGGGTGACTCTGCCCCGGGGAGGTGGGCACAGGACCTATGCCTAGTCATTCAGAGTCACGGGGACTGGTTCAGGGAGAGGCACGTGGCTCGGTCCCCAGCCGCGAGGGCTCGCCCTCCAACATTTTCCGGAATGACTGGGGGAAGCTAACATGACGAGAGGGAGAGGAACAGGCGAAGCAACCGACACCGACCGAGCGCCTGGACCCACCCACTCCTGGAACCGCAGCCTGGGTCTTCCCAGCACGCACACAGCCTCGTCCTGAGGCCAGGCCGGTCACGGTACAGTGTCTCGGTCACTTCCTCTAACAACCCCGCGTGCAGGCACGTTTCCCATTTCACAGATGAGGAAGCAGACTGAGGTGACTGGTCCAGGGCCTGAGGGAAGCCCTAGGTTGGGTCTCAGCCCAGAGAGGCCAAGCCCTGTCCCGTGTGGATGCCTTGACTTTGCTGTGTGTGAGATGGGGGCCGCCAGGCCCCGCGTTCACACTCTGTCCGCACGGGGGAGCCAGGCCGGGGTCCTCACCTCCCCTCCATGTCCACCACATGCAGGGTGTCCTCCAGGAGGCAGGTCTTGAGCGCGTAGTCCTCCTGGCTGCTGGCCGTCAGCGACGGCGAGGCGTTCACCTCCAGGAGCCACCTGAGGGGGGCGCGGGACAGCCTTAGAGTCCTCGGGCCCTAGAGGCCCTGGGAGTTCGCCTAGAGGCTAGCCGGGGTGCCTGGGCTCTGCTCTCAGCTCAGCAGTGCCGCGAGGGGAGCTGGCGTCCTTGTGCCATCACTGATTTTCCTCCTTCTGACAGAGATGCGGGTGTAAGAAGAGTGTCTGCCCTGAGAAGGGGTTGCCGGTAGATGGCAGGGCCCCGGGCTGGGGAGGCTGCAGACTCCGAGCTGGAAAGGCCCTGGCCAGCTCCTGCGGGAGGGGGGCCCAGGATCGCAAGAGCATCCGATTTTCCTGAAGACCCCTGCATCCTGATTTTCATGTACACATCTCCCAGATTTCAGGTTGACACACAGAAACACCCTGAGGGCCAACCTCAAAGTGATCAGAGCTCAAAAGCAGCCCAAGGACCTGCAGCTGCCTCCTTGCAGACAGGAAGCTGGACTCAGAGAGGGCAGGGCAGGGGGCACCGGGGTCCCCCTTCCCATTGTTTCTCCATCCAGCAGCATTCACCCCAATGCCTGCAGCCACTCTTGATACAGGCAGCAAAGGAGAGAGGCTTTGAACCCCGCCCCACCCCCAAAGCCCTACCGCACCTTTAGTGACCCTGGGCAGGGAGTTGGGCTCCTGGAGGTGGGACCCCGGGCCTAGCTCCACCCTTGACCTTCAGCTCCCCAACCACCCAGGGGCCTTTGCCTCCCAATGCTGCTGCGTCACAGTAGGCCCTCACTGTGGTCCCTGGCAGCTCAGCAGTGAACGCCATTGCCGCACTGTTTCTCACGCAGCACTCTGCGTCCTCAAAGCACCAAGACACAGAGAGTGACAGCTTCTTACCTGCTAAAGCAGAGCAGCCAATCGGGACAGGGCTGCTGTGCCCTGCACTGCTCATTTAGCCCCCAAACAATTCCTTGACACGGAGGAGGCGCGAGGACCAACCAGACGCAGCCACGCACCTTCCCGGGGCCCTGGGCCCTGCACGTGGGAAGGTGGGGCCTGCCGTCGTGCTCATCCCCTAGCCCCAGGCCGGCCGATCCCGGGCTCCTCGTTTTGTGGATGGGCAAGAGGCACGGGAAAAGGAAGCGTGTTCAGGGTTACACGAGGAGGAAGTGGCTGCGCCCGGACTCAAAGGTGCAGAGCGTGTGAAACCCCCGAGGCCCCGGCACGTACGGCTTGAGGTCCTGGTCGATGAGGATGTCGTAGCCGTACAGTTCAAAGCAGTGCTTGTCACTGATGATCACCTTCTGCACGCTCTGCAGGCTCCTGATGAAGATGTTGTCCATGTCAGCGAAGAGCTCCTCCACCGCCTCGGGCCCGTGCTTGGACGCCAGGTACTGCCGGAAGCGCTGCAGCATCCACTTGCAGCCCTGTGCAGCGTGGAGAGCGGCGCGGCGGGCCCTTCATCTGACCGCACCCTGGGGGCCGCAGGAGTCCACCCGTCCCGCCCAGCCCCGAGGCCTGGGGTTAGGACCACTCCAGGTGTGCCCCTGTTTGTGGGACAAAGATTCTGCACGTCCACGGGGACTGGCCGCTCAGGATCCTGGAAGTCCCCGCCCAGGTGGCCTGTGCAGGACTCCTCGCTGGCCCTGCCTCCCTGAGAGCAGACCATACCAGCCCCGTGTGCATCCCAGGCTGTGGGTGGGGGACTGTGTGCACTGGGCCAGACCAGGATGGAGCCGGGGAGGGAGCAGCAGCGAGCAGGCGAGCTGGGCCCCTTTACCCCAGAAGTCTGAGGATTCCACATGCACACCTGCGGCGCAGGTTATACGCAGATTAGACGGCAGACAGGTGAGAAACTCCGTCTGTGTGGTAACCCCAGTGGAGTGCCACGGCAGAAGGATGAGGCGCATCTCATTCAGGGGTGCATTTGGTTTTACACGTTTAGACCCAAGAGAAACAGGCCTCCATCGCGTGCTTGCCCCAGGCCGTGCGTGCTGGAGGGGCAGGCCTGACCTCATTGGTGACCTTGAGCCCCCCCCCCCAGGCCATGCCAGGCTCCTCGCCACTCCACCCTGCCCAGCTGCAGCCCGTGGGTGGCCGCAGCCCGCATCCTCACCTTCTTCGGGTGGTAGTCGGGAGATGTCTTCTGGACAGCGACGTTGGTGAGGTGAACGTCTGGAAGATTGGTGGTCAAGGGCCAGTGTGGACAAGAGGAGGCGGCCCCACCCCACGGAGCCCCGAGGGACGGCACCCAGACCCCTGCTTGGGACCAGATGGGGAGAGGCCACACAACAGCTCAGAGGTCCCACACACGATCTCGGGAAGCAGACGAGACTGGGTTCAAGTCCTGCCTACTCCTCTACCGGCCGCTTCCCCACCCATGCAGCGGGGGAACGTAGCCGTTTGTTGGCCTCACAGGGCTGTTGGAAAGATCGGATGAAACACTGCATAGAAGGACCTGTATGCCGCCTGGCAAAGCTGATGTTAGTACTTTCCAACTCAGGAGTGAAAACTTCCTAGGCAGTAGAGACCCCGACGTGGGGCAGTCCTCCGGGGATAGACCGAGGGGCTCGGGCTGGGCGGCACTCTGTAGGAATTGTGGGGGTGGGAGTGGCCTTGAAGACCCAGCCCTGAGACCCTGCCTTCCTGTATCACCACCATCACCACCAGGGACCCTGACGTCGCTCAGCAGCACCCACAGCACCCCAAGACGAACAGGTGGAGACAGAGACGCGGCGGCCACCGAGAGCACGCCCTCCTTCCACATCCTCCCCTGCACTGCAAGCAGGATGGCCCCGTGCCTTGCGGAAGGACCAGGAGACGTGTGTCTGTTCAGATGCAACAGGGCGCAGGGCCCCAGCCTCTCTGGAGAAGCGGGCGTCATCTTCGGCGTGCTTCCCCCAAAACGTCTTCCTCAGAGCTTCAGAGTTCCTTTTCCCTCTCCTTCATGTTCTTCTGAATTTTTCCTGCATCAGTTGCAACAGCAGTGGCCCAGGACAGCTCACCCAGTAAGGGGCCCTGCTGTGTATGGCCAAGTGGTAGGAGAAGGTACTTAGGGCAAAGAGGAATCGGTCTTTTCAAATGGGGCAGGCACACCAGGATACCCATGTGCAAAAGAATGAGGCGAGACCCCCCCTTCCTCACACCAGACGAAAAATAACTCCAACCGGACCACATACCTGCACATAAAAGGCAAAACTGTAACATTATTAAAAGAAAATATAGGAATAAGTTGTCACGAGCCTGGGCTAGGCAGTGATTCTTAGATATGACACCAGAAGCAAAGGCAATAAACTAAATCCAATTTTATCAAAAGTAAAAACTTTTGTGCTTCATAGGACATTTTGAAGAAAATGAAAAGAAAAAAAAAAGTCCCAAAGAACGGGAGAAAGCATTTGCAAATCATGAACCTGATATGGACTAGCATCTGGAATACATAAAGAATTCTTGTAACTCAACAAGACAAAACCATCCAGTTTTAAAATGGGCAAAGGCACTGAGCACGTGATTCCCCAATGAACGGAGCTCAGTGTCATGAGTGACCAGAGAAACTCAAGGGAGAACCACTTCACACCCACCGGACACCAGGCTGCTGCAGCGAGAGGTGACAGGTGTTGGCGAGAATGTGGCGAAATGGGAACTGGGCGACACTGGAGGATGTGGAAAATGGTGCAGTACTTGGGGAAAATCTAGCAGTTCCTCAAAGGTAACCAGAGAGGGGCTGTGGTTAATCCTCTGCCTGCGGTGCTGGCATCCCATGTGGGTGCCAGTTCGAGTCCCAGCTGCTCCACTTCTGACCCAGCTCTCTGCTATGGCCTGGGAAAGCAGTAGAAGATGGCCCAAGTCCTTGGGCCCCTGCATTGATGGCCCCGGCATCAGATCAGCCCAGCCCTGGCTGTTGTGGCCATTTGGGGAATGAACCAGCAAATGGAAGACCTTTCTCTGTGTCTTTCCCTCTCGCTGTAACTCTACCTCTCAAATAAATAAATGTTAAAAAAAAAAAGTAACCATAGACTTTGGGGTGGCCACCAGGCCTTGTGGTAAGATGCCCGCCTCCCAGGGTGAGGGACTGCCTGGGTTTGACACCGGCTCCACCCACTCCAGGCTCATGCAGATTCTAGGAGGCAGCCATAAGGTCCCTGCCCACCACAGGCGAGACCTGGACAAAGTCCCTGGGCTCCCAGCTCAGTCCGGCCATTGCAGCACTTGGAGGAGAACTGCAGAAGGCAGGCCTCTCATGCTCTCAAATAAATAAGCAAACTTTAAAAACGCACACAGAGAATTACCACGTGACCAGAAAGTCCATCCCTAGGTACACAGGCATCCAAGAGAGAGGGACGCACCCGTCCGTGCACACACTTGTATGAGAAATGCCCACAGGCAGAAAGTGTCAGCAAAGCCCTGTCCCCAGGGGAGAAGCCAAGGGTGTGGCCACCTCTCTGGAGGCGGGCACAGCCGTGTGGTGCGATCGCCTTTGCAGCAAGGAGATGGGGAGCGCCCATGTGTGAAAGCAGCCGGTTGGAAGGCCACAGGCCGTACGGCTCCATCTGCATGAAGGCCCACCCGCTGAGGCGGAAACTGGCTGCCAACGCTGGGACACCGACAGCACTCCAAGATCGACCTCGGCGATGCCTGTGTGGGTACGGTGAGAGCCCTGTCACCGTGTGCTTCGGCGGTGAGCCGTGTGGGACGCGAGTTCTATCTCCATAGAGCTTAGGATATATTCCTGCACAGAAATTAGTTAGTGGTTGTTTAAAGAATCACAAGGGAAGAGGGCGCTCTGGCTGAGCAGCTGCTGGCTTCAGAGGGGCCCTCGCTGGCTCCCAGGACCCAGCCTCACCTGCTCCCGCCTTCCCCAGCCGCAGGCACAGGGGGCCAGCGGATCCTCCCCCTCCACACAGACCTCAAATCAGGTCCCCGGGGACCAGCCACGCGGCCAAGGGCGAACAGACTATCAGAACCAATTTGGAGAGAAATGCAGCCGGTGTGTTGTGAAATCTCGAGAGGGAAAAGCATCCTCTCAACTGAGAGACAACAAAGGCAACTGACGGACAGCTCCGGGGCCGGCTCCATAACAACGAAGGTAACCAGATGTCCAGGCAGAATGAAGGCGAGCACGGCCAAGACTGGAAGCGAACGTGGCGAGAGTCCTCTCACATCAACTGTTCACAGCGAGACGTCCCGGCTCTAATACACGAAGGCTATGAAAACATACGAGAAAACACAGCCGGCAGGAGCGCCTCGGGGAGCATGACCGCAGCTAGGAACCCGAGAGCCACCATTTCAAATGGACGGGAACTGGGCAAAATGCAAGTTGGAGGAGATGTGACCTCTCAGGCAAAGCTCTGCTTCCTCAAGTCAGTCATTGCATTTCCAACCTTTTTGTTTGGAAAAATTCAAAACTCACAAAACAGTCGCGAGAATAGCGTAACAAGCGGTCACGTGCACGCTCCTCCTGGCCGTGACCATGTTCCCAGAAACGGTCTTCTGACAATGGCTGTCACCAGTACCGGGCGGCTGCGGTGACCTGGACGGCGTCAGCGGGCAGGTAAATACAGAACTTCCGGAAAACACCTGGCCAGGAGCCCTCAACCTGTGCTTATGTCTCCGACTCCTTCCAAAGGAAAAACAAACACAGCAAAAGGTTTGCAGCGCTGTCTGTTACACTAGCAAGAAACTCAATGCTTCCCAAATGGCGCGTTAAGTCCATGCACTGCAGTATTTTGTAGCAATTAAAAAGAAGTTACAGCAAATGTAACTTCTGATGATAATGGTTAGGGCAAAAAAGATTATATTTATACCTGGGGATCGCTCATATTAAAGGCAACTGACAAGCAAAGAATCTATAAATGAACCTGGAAGAGTGAAGCAGCTGATGGATCTCTGGCTCTCCTCCTCCTCTCTGCAACTCTGCCTTTCAAATACACAAATCCTTTTTAGAAAAAATAAATTGGAGGCCAGCACTGTGGCCTAGTAAGTTAGGCCTCTGCCTGTGGCACCAGCATCCCCTATGGGCGCCGATTCGTGTCCCAGCCGCTGAGTGACCCCTGCTGCCTCCTGGGGCCTGCGCTAGCAAGGAGCTGGAGTCAGGAGCCAGAGCCAGGTCCTGAACCCCGACACTTGAGGGATGTGGGCATCTTAACCAGCACCCCAACTTTTAAGCTAAAGATTTGCTCCCTTCTATACTATTTTAAAAGCTGGTTTGTAATATCTGAGGCAGATACAGCCAAATATTAATATGGTACATACACGAGTTTCTATTATAGTCTTTGCTGCAGTTTTCTATGTAGTTTAATATTTTAAGATTAAAAAAATAAAAAACAATTTAAAAGAAGGGGTGGAAGATGATGTGTATTCACTCTGTGCAAACAGCGAGGCCTTATTAAATAGAAGGCAGCCTGGGAGAGGCTCAGCTTGTTCAGCAGGTCCCCACGCTGCCCAGAGAAGTGCAAACACTCTGGACGGGGAGTCAGGACACTAACATTTGCTGAGGGCTCCCTCTGGGTAGGCCCTGTTCCCTGCTCTCTGTATTATTTAATTTAATTATAAAAAACAGGGGGCAATAAAACCCAACTCAAACAAATGTGATAACCCGCATGTCATCAGAATTACAAAAGTGAACAAACATATTGGAAAAGAAGAAGCCAAAATAGAAAAAAGAAATTATAAAAACAAACACTCAGAGGGGCCTAATCTCAGCCTTAGAGGCAACGCAAAGGCATGTCCTTGGACACACACTTAATTGAATGATTAGGTCAAGGCTGAGACACTGGCTGGGTTGCCCATGCCAGCAGCAGCAGCACCTGCCGTTACTGTATGCAAATTATCCCCCCACTCCCAGACGCTCTAGACTGCCCAGTGAGCTCAAGCGTTTGCGCATTCTCTGAGGCTCAGGCCTAAACATCTTAAAAAAAAAAAAAAAGTTTAGGGGCTGGCATCATGGCGTAGTGGGTTAAAGCTGCCACCTGCAACATTGGCATTCCATATCCATGCTGGTTCAAGTGCTGGCTGCCTTTTTTTTTTTTTTTTTTTTTTTAAGATTTATTTGAAAAGCAGAGCCATAGCTCTCTGCTATGACCTGGGAAAGCAATAGAAGGTGGCTCAAGGCCTTGGGCCCCTGCACCCACATGGGAGACCCAGAAGCAGCTCCTGGCTTCAGATCGGCGCCAACTCCGGCCATTGTGGCCAATTGGGGAGTGAACCAGCGGATGGAAGACCTCTCTGTCTCTCCCTCGAACTCTTTCAAATAAATAAAACAAGCCTTTAAAAGTAAAACGAACAGCTGCATAGTATTCTGATGTAGAAACGAGCCATTCGTTCCACTGATTCCTTTGCTGACACGAGGCTGCTCTGTCCTGTGTCGTGGGTGCACCTGTAGGATAGATGTCCAGGACCGGCGCACTGCTGAAGCAGGGTGGTGCCAAGTGTCTTGTGACAGACATCTGCCAGACTGCCTTCTAAGGGGCGGGACCGTTTTACTCCCCTGCCAGCAACTCGTGGACTCCCCCAGCCTTGCTGGGCTGGGCGACAATGGCATTGTGTTAGAATGAATGAGGGACTGAAGACAAAGCACACAAAAGGGCGCAAATGAATCAACGCGAGCCCACCACCAAAACCATCATCAGGGAGCGCAGTGTGGGGGGGGGGGGGCTGCTCCCCTGGGACCTCACAAAACTGGAGCTCCCACAGGGAAAGGCCTGGGCCTGTCTTGTCCACCCCATGTGCAGCTCGCCCAGAGCCCTGCGGGCAGCCAGACGACGTCTGCAGGGTGAAGGGGTGTGTGCAGGGCTGCGGGCGGCAGAGAGGGGCAGGTGGATGCCAGGATACACTGGTCGTCAATGCTGTTCAGCGTGAAGCGGGTGTTGGAGAATCGGGCGAAGCCGTCGCGGTAGAGCCAGGCCCGCAGGGGGATGTACTGAGATGGAGGTGGGAGAGAGGGAGAGACGGGGGAGGAGCATGCAGGTGAGCTCGCACCCTCCCGCCGCCTGTCCTCCCCTCCCCCCATCCCGTGCCATCCCACAAGCACCTGCTCCCGCAATGGCCTCTCCAGGGCAAGGGGTACACAAGAGGAGAACGGATGGGCCCCCTTTGTGCTCCTCTGCTCCAGGGACACCCACCTGCCTGCGACATCCAGAACAGTGGCTAAGCCCATCTCAGCCACCCCTGTGCCTGGCAGAGGAGTGCGCCAGGCTGGTTTGGCTGTGTGCTGAGTGAATGGCTGAACGGATGGATGGGAGGAAGACAGCGACTCCCCGGTTGGGTGTGGGCCCTGGGGCCAGGCTGCCTGGATTTGGATCCCAGCTCTGCCACTCACCAGCTGTGTGACCCTGGGAAAGTCCCCAGACTTCTGTGTCTGTTCCCGCCTACAATATTAGGATAGTCACAGAATCTACCTCACTGGGTTGTTAGGGGGACTAGATGAGGTAGGAGCTGCTGAGTGGGAAGGTGTTAACAGACACCCACTGGGGTGACTATAGAACACCGAGTCAAGGTCAGGGACAGATCCAGGCGCTGGGCATCCCAGATGGTCAACCTCGGGGACGTCCCCCCGGGGCTCAGCAGCTAAAACCGACAGGCTCACGTATGCTGCTCCCGGCGCGGCCTCTGCCCATCCCCCCAACCCCCACTAGAGCGGGCCCCTGCCCCGGTTTACTCACCGACATCACCAGCACGTAGACGCGCAGGTCAAACTTGCGGCCTGTGGGGAAGACAGAAAGTGCATTCACAGGGTGTCAGGCACTGGGAGAGACTCGGGATGGACACGGCAGGGGACAGACATGGCGCCCACCTTCAGAGAGCTCCCCATAACCCACACAAGGCACAGGAGAGGGTGCCCTGTGGCAGGGCAGTGCTGGGGGAGAGATCAGGCGCTCAGGGGCTGAGGCAGACCCCACAGGAGGGGGGGACTCTCGGGGTTTAGTTCAGAGTGTGGAGCAGCCTCAGGCAGGAGGCACCAGTGGACAGGGGCCCCGGGGGACAAAGAGCTTGGGCCACGGGCAAAGCGGAAGGAGATGCAGTCGGTGAGGCTGGCAGAGGCTGGGTCACACACGATCCTTGGGCGTCTTCCACCAACCACGGGGAGCCACGGCAGGGTTCCGAGCCTCAGCACGGCAGTGAAGGGGACCAGAGCAGTGGAGCATCAGCGAGGACCGGGATGCAAGCCAGAGGGGTGGCCAGCAGCTTCAAGAGCCGCGCTGCTGACAGTGAAGAATCCAGGGAGGGGAGGCCACGCCCAGAATCATTCTCGGTGGGTGTGGAGGGGCTGTGACCCAGACCAGTCGGAGAGGCTGGGGGATGAGTCGGATCTGGGGGAGGTGGCAGAGTTTGACTGTGGGGCTCGTTGGGTTGGAGTTGCTGGTTGACTTCCAAGGGGGAGTCGCCAGCTGCTGGACATCAAGATCTGGGGTTTGGGGCCAGGGTCTCGACTAGAGACAGAAAGCTGGGAGTCGCTGCCATCTGGGTGGTGTTTAGAGCCAGGAGACAGGACAGGACACTGGGGGAGGGAGGAGAGAAAGAGATCTAGGAACCCCCCCGCCCCGTGGGGGAGTCACTGCCGGAGGCAGGACAGAGGCAGGTGGCATCAACACTGCTCTACTGATGTGCTTCAGTCCACAGCGCCCCATGGTGGCCCCTCCCCCACACCAGAGGTGTCTGCAGGTCGCGGGCCCATGTGGAAGCAGAAGCAGGGGCCGTCCATCACCTGCCAGACCTCAGGAAGAAGGCACGTGCCCACCTGGCCCCTGCACTCTGCTCCCACAGGTGACTCCTGGCTGTCCCCCGTCACTGTCACCACTGAGGACCCTCCCTGACCCCCAGGTCACTCTGTGTCCCTTCACCCTGCTTGACCCACTTCCTAGCACCCACCACTGCATGGGGCTGTCTGTCTCTGGGACCTATGTTCCCTGAGCGCAGGGTGGCAGTAGGCACCCGGGACAGAGGCTGGCACCCAGTGGGCACCTCGCAAGCATCTGCTGCGTGGTGCATGGATAGGCAAGCCGGGTCTTGCAGAAGGGGGCCAGCAAGGGCGTTGCCAGCCAGAGGGAACAGCCCGGGCAGTGGCTAGGAGGGGAGAGTGCAGGCCAGGCCCCTATACCCCGTCACGGCCAGTGTCGTGCTGTGCCCTTGGCAGATGCCACTCAAGGCTTGTTGACTGACTTTTGGACCGGCTGAGGGTAGAAGGCCGGGGGGTGGAGCCCACGCCTCACCTCCTATCAGGTAGGGGTTTTCAATGTAACGCTGAGCCACGTAGTTCTCCACAGGGATCTCGTCTTTTTGCTCTTCGGAAGTTCTCGGTTCCTAGCGGTCATGATCACTGTTAACGTCCGCTGGGCGTTTCCCAGGGGATGCGCCCTCCAGGGACGTACTACCGTGACGCCCATTTCACAGATGAGAAACAGAAGCACATGGAGGGAGCCTGGCGTGCCCGGGTCACTGAGCTGGTCAGTGGTACAGCTGGGGTGAGGATTCAGTCTCAGCCCAGGACCTGAGCATGTGACCCCTGTGCCTGGGCTGCCCGGGGGACAGCCCTGGGCCTCCCGGGGGACAGCCCTGGGCCGTATGTGCCTAGTTTTACTCCAACTGATTAAAAGTAAATGAAATCAGATAGGCTTTTGTAACGGGGACAAGTGTTTGGCACAGCAGTTAAAACACTACTTGGGATGCCTGCATCACGTCGCATGACACCCAGTTGGAGTCCTGGCTCTGTTTCCAATCCAGTTTCCTGCTGATGTGCACCCTGGGAGGCAGTGGGTGATGGCCAGCAGGTGGGTGGTCCCTGTCACCCATGTGGGAGACCCAGACTGAATTCTGGGCTCCAGGCTTCTGCCTGCTCCAGCCCTGGCTGTTGCAGACATTTGGGGAGTGAACCAGTGGATGGAAGACTGGTTTTCTTTCTGTCTGCCTTTTAAATAGAATGAAAATAAATTTTTAAAAAAATTCTAAACAAAATCACGCTCCAACATGGATGAAACATGAAGACGGCGTGCTCAGTGAATTAAGCCAGACACAGGATGAGTATCGGGCGTCCACCAACACGAGGTTCCCTACAGGAAGCAGGGATGGGGAGCTGCTGCTTGCTGGGGACCGAGTCTCGGCTGGGAAAGGTGACGCGCTCTGGAGCTGGACGGTGGGCATCGCTGTGCCGTGGCACGGAGCCGCACTCTGCATTCTGGCTAAATGGCCAGTTCCATTTGTGTATGGTTTCCCACGCTTAAATAAAAGGGACAAAAAGATTTAAAATTCGCTCCTTCAGGGCCCCCCAGCCACCTGCCGGGGCTCGGTGTCATGAGGCTAGTGGTCCCCAGGTCGGGGAGCTCAGGCACACAGCATTTCCAGGAAGTTCTCCGGGCAGTGAGTGCTCCCCAGACCACGCGACAGGCCCTGGGACAGCCCTCTCCCCCACCACACCCCCACTGTCTGCAAATCCCTCCCTGCCCACTGTCCCCTTTCCAACGTGGGGGAACGAGGCCCAGTGGCAGGGCCGCCTCCTCCAGCCCCCACCCCAGGGCTGCGTCAGCCAAGGGCAGCCGGGCCTGGCCTCCCCCCCGACCCCTGCCACCCCCCCCCACCTCTACTCACATGGCTGCTGCAGAGGTTGATGGTGCTGCGGGCAGGCTGCAGCTCCAGGCTGGCGAGCTTCTTCCCCACGGTGCCCTGACAGTTTCACAGGAGGAGTCAGGTATGGGGGAGATGCAATTATTGAGCGCCTGCTGTGAGCCTGCTGGTGCAGAGGGTGCTCCTCCCACACACCCACACCACCATCACTTCTGAGGTTCAGAGGCTTCGGTAATCTCCCCTGAAACCACAGAGCTGTCGAGGGGCAGAGGCAGGATGGGAACCAGCAGGTGCACAGCGCAAGGGCGATGTCTGGGCAGAGACGGAGCCGTCTCCCAGGCCCCAGCGCAGTCCAGACCAGAGGAAGTCAGCCAGCCAAGCTCCCCCCAGCCACGTGAGCAGGAGGACCAGATCAAGAACACGGGCTGAGCGCTCCCCACGTGCCAGGCGCCGCTCCATTCGTGGGGTTTGATGTGCAGTAACGCACCACGTCCTTGGCAGGTACTGCTACTATCCCCACCCACTGGGGCACCGAGAGGGGAGTAACTCGCCCGCCCGCCATTGCATGGCCATTGAGTGGCAGGCTCAGGATTCGGAACCAGAGCCACACTCCCAGGGCAGGCCAAAGGGCAGAGCTCTGGGCCAGCCTCAGAGCTGAGGGAAGAGAGACGGCTCCTCCCCCAAGCCGGGCAGAGAAAGGCGTGGGACGAGGGGCTCTGGGGGCAGGCTCACCTTCCTCCAGTCCATGATGTCCTTTAGCCTCCGGAAGAGGAAGATGCCCTTCCCCTGCGACCGGGCTACCTGGGACAAGGACAGGGGCAGAGAGGCCACTCAGCGCTGCATGGCTGCTCCCCTGCACCCGTCTCCCACACCCAGAGGGCAGCCCGCTCTGCCCTGAAGGGGCTGGAACAACAGAAAAGGTGCTAAGCACGGGAGAGCGGGAAGGGGGGAAGAGAGGGGGAGACTTCGCTCACAAAGATGTGCATCTGCATGAATAATGCAAGAGAACAGACAATTAAAAAACCATTTCTAACAGTCCTGGGAACATTTCATCCAGTTCTTTTTTTGGAAATCAATTTGCCTTCCTAATTAGGTTTTGCTTCGGCTAATACCGCAATCAGCCTGCCTTCGCTGAACCCGGTGTGGGTAATTCTCAGCCTCCGAGTCCCTGGTGGCAGAATCCCTCACGTCCTGCGGAGCGCTCCTCCAGCGGTCACCGCCTGGCCTCGCACTCTCACACTGCCAGGGAGCTCGCTACCCTCTCCCACCCCAAACGGTACATAGTAGGTGCCTACTGTGTGCTGAACCACGAGACAGTGGTAACCCAGGCCTTGTGGAATGTTCACGGTCTCACTGTGCTAAGCTAAACTTCGCCAGTCTAGTTCTGGCTTCTAGAATCTCCTAGAAAAATGGGATTCCTGGGTGCCAGCAAAGCCCTTTAATTACCTGCAGCCTCTGAGCAGGTGCAAACTCACTCCCCTCTGTTCTCCCCTGGGTGTGGCCCCCGAGCCCCCTGTACATTGCAGGGCACACACAATAGGCAGGTGTGGCTGTACAGGTTGACCACGACAAGGGGCCCTGCTCTGCCTGCTGTGCCACGCACCCTGAGGGTGCCCAGAAGATGGGGTACCCAAAAGACTGTGGGCCATAGGCAAGGGCTTAAGGACAACCAAGCAGGCACAGCACTTTGGGAAAGCACCCGAGCCACGGCTTCCAGCAGTCCTCAACTTTGCAAGACTTGGATGGGCACTTGGTAAAGGAAGACTGCTCAGCGTCAACACGGGAGCAGGTGCGTGACGGCACCAGCCACCCGGGAAGCACAGATGAGATTCCCAGTGTGGTATGACTACGCCCTCCCTGAGAACAGCTAGAACAACAGACACCACCAAGTGCTGGGCAGGATTTGGAGAGCCTGAAACTCTACTCACGGCAGGTGGAGTGTGCGCTGCAGGGAAACCCTTAGGTGGCATCCTCAAAACTACGACTCAGCAATTCCTCTCCTAGGCACCCGCACACCCGGACACAGACACCCACAGCAGCACCATTCGTAACTGCTCCAGCCTTGAAACTCCCAAATGGATACACGTTGGCCCCATGGACTGGGATACGACCATGACCGACTGTCACTGGTTAACAAACACTCCCATCAAGAAGACGAACCGTATGACACTGAAGGGGAGGAACCAGACACGATGGAGTCCTACTCTGACTCTGCGCATATCAAGTCTGGACAGACAAACTGAGCCTATGCCACAACTGGCCCGGGGCTCTGTGCACGGAAGGGGCCCGAGGGGCTTCTTTGCTGATGACCTGGCTGTTGGTTACTTGAGTGCACTTACTTTGTGAACATTCAGATTGGACTCCTACTTCCACTCCAAGTACCTCTTTAGGCTCACACATTCTGGTCTGGGAGCCACACCCACCCCTGCTGCCCTCGCCACAGCCAGTCCTTTCCTGGCAGCAAAGCCCAACCTCTCACGGCGGAGACAGAGGCCAGATACTGGTTTTCCTGGCTCCCCTTGCAACTGGTAGACCCACTTTTGGCCAATGAAACCTTGGAAGACATCTGTCTGGCAATCCTGGGACAGATTTTTCTCCTTGTTAAATGCATGGGGGGAGGGGGGGTTGGCGCTACAGTGCAGTAGGTAAAACCGCCACCTGCAGTGCTGGCATCCCATAGGATGCCGGTTCGAGTCCCAGCTGCTCCTGACTGCGCTCTCTCCTATGGCCTGGGAAAGCAGTAGAATATGGCCCAAGTGCTTGGGCCCTGCACCCACGTGGGAGACAAAGAAGCTCCTAGCCCTGGATCAGATCAGCTCCAGCCCTTGTGGCCATTTGGGGAGTGAACTAGCATAAGACCTTTCTCTTTGGGCTGGTGCTGTGGCATAGTGGGTAAAGCCACCACCTGCAATGCTGGCATCCCCTATGAGTGCTGGTTCAAGTCTCAGTTGCTCCATTTCCAATCCAGCTCTCTGCTATGGCCTGGGAAAGCAGTGGAAGATGGCCTAAGAACTTGGGCTCCTGCACCCATGTGGGAGACCTGGAAGAAGCTCCTGGCTCCTGATCAGCCCAGCTCTGTCCTTTGTGGCCAACTGGGGAGTGAACCAGCGGATGGAAGACCTCTCTCTCTGCCTCTCCTTCTCTGTGTAATTCTTTCAAATAAGAAAATTAAAAAAAGAAAAAAAGACCTTTCTCTCTGGCTCTGCCCCTGTTTAATTCTACCTTCTAAATCATTTAAAAAAAACGCATCAGGAGGCCGGCGCCAGGGCTCAATAGGCTAATCCTCCACCTGTGGCGCCGGCTCCCCGGGGTTCTTGTCCCAGTCGGGGTGCCGGAATCTGTCCCAGTTGCCCCTCTTCCAGGCCAGCTCTCTGCTGTGGCCTGGGAGTGCAGTGGAGGATGGCCCAAGTCCTTGGGCCCTGCACCCGCATGGGAGACCAGGAGAAGCACCTGACTCCAGGCTTCGGATCAGCACGATGCGCCGGCTGCAGTGGCCATTGGAGGGTGAACCAACGGCAAAGGAAGACCTTTCTCTGTCTCTTTCTCACTGTCCACTCTGTCAAAAATAAATAAATAAAATGCATCAGGGAGGAAGGTGACATGGGAGGAAAGGCCTGGTTCCTGTTTTCTTTAAATGCTAATTGTCTGCGGAAGTGCCGCCTGCAGTTCCAACAGCCACCTCCACAAATGATCACCGATATTCCCAGGCCCCTGTATTCTCCAGGGCCCCACGGGCAACCCAAGGCAGAGTCCAAGCCCCTCGATCCGGGGGCAAGCCTTAGGGACCGTCACGATAGTGTCCAGCCGCAGTGACGGTGTGTGGGTTGCAGCACTGGATCCTAAAGGCAATGCAGCTCCCGCCTGGCTCTCTTGCCGGGAGGGCGTTACCCTTGAAGCCCAGCACCATGCCGCGTGGGAGGGGCGGAGGGACACTTCATCTTCCCGCCCTCTGCAGAGGCTCACACCTCCCGCCACCGCCACCGGAGGCTCCTGAGCCACAAACAAGGCAGCACTGGCGCTTCAAGTCACTACGCTTTGCGGGCTGTGTCACTCAGGCGGAGGAGCCAGAATGTGACTCCAGGACCCTGAGGTTGTAACGCCAGTGGCGAACTTCTCCGGGGTCCACGCCGAGCCAGGCACCAAGACCTCCACACATGCCCACGTCAAAGCTCCAAAAGGAGGCCTTCGGGCAGAGGCACTGACACGACCCCCAGGGCTCAGCCAAGAACAGCGAGGAGCCAGGAGGCTGCGCACATGCCCAGTCACCTGGCCAGCAGGACACAGCGCTAGGGGCACCCAAAATCGTGACACCACACGTGCGGGGCTGCTTCCGGGAGCATCTGTCTTACTTGATAACGTGGTATAAAACGCTGGCTCCTGAATTATGTCTCTTCCAAAAAGATTATTTTTGCTAGGAAACAATATTTGAGTGGATTATTAGAATGAACTATACCAGCTGTGGCCACTCAGTCCTCGTCCCGTGTCACCACTGTTCTGTCCCTGCTAGAGGCCACACTCACCAGGTGTTGAGCAGTCAGGGGTCTCCCACACAGCTATTCCCCCCATCCCTGCTGACAGGACACGCTGCTTCCCATTTAGCTCAACCCCTGCGTCCTCTGGGGAGGTCTGAGCCCCCCATTGGGGTTCCATGCCACTGCCACATGATTGGCCAACAAAAGTCTGCTGCAAGGACTTCTGGGAGGAGCTTCATCTTTTCCAAAAGGGACCCAAGGCCAGGGAGGCGGGAGGGGTGTGGCTAGAGCTGTGTCAGCCACCCTGTGACCGAGAGGCGCGAGCCGCCTGCAAATCGTCCCTGGAACTGCCCTTTCTCCATTGGAGGACACTCCCCAAGGTCTGTAAGCTCACATGAGAGATGGACTTCATCTTTATCTTCACTAATTCCTACCCAGATTGTCGCGTTTCCAGCAGAAGGAATTCTGCTATGCGTGCGGGCAGCACATCACAAGCTATCAGCGGTGCCAGTGACGCTGCCATCCAGAGCAATCGGCCATTTTCACATTATGTTGCAATCACTGCCGCGGTCTCAAAGGACGGTGCACGCCCTACACGACCTGGAGCCAGCGATGGTTAGCGTTGAGTACCGTGGCACAGAGAACGGCTGAACAGCTTGTGAGGGGGCAGCGAAGTCGTGCCCCACAGGCCTCCAGCGCAGGAGAGCAGCGGGCCGAGCACCACGCGGTGTTGACGTCCTTGCCAGGGGCTGCTGCCCGTTCCGGAGACACAGGGGAGGACCCCGACAGCGACTTCCCTGGGGCCTCCCTGGGGCCTGGCTGGACTCACCCTCAGGCTGCACTTGATCTAGGAGCTTCCACTCTCCCTGGCCCCTTGCTTCTTCCCCTCTCTCCTCTCCACTCCGAGGTTGGACGCTCTCCCCGCCTCACCCTGCTCCCTCTCCACTTTCTCCTACAGGCAAAACTCTGGCGCATTTCGGGGCACAGTGGGTTAAGATGCCAGCATCCCACATTGGGGTGCCAGTTCAAGTCCCGGCTACCCTGCTTGCCATCCAGCTTCCTGTCGATGCACCTGGAAAGCAGAGGAAGATGGCCCAACACTTGGACTCCTGCCATGCACATGGGAGACCTGGAAGGAGTTCCAGATGCCTGGCCCCAGCCTGGCCCAGCCATCTGGGAAGTGAACCAGCAGATGGAAGATCTGTCGCTCTGCCTTTCAAGTAAATAAATAAAAACGAATCTTTAAAAAAAAAAAAAATGCCTCTGGTATATTTAGCCTTGTCTTGTGGTTGTTTCTTGGAGGACCCAGAGTAACAGTTTGGTAACTATTTTTAAATATAGTTTGTTTTTAAAACATTTATTTAAAGGCAGAGTGAGGGGGAGAGCAGGACGGTGGGAAGGAAGGACGCGGTGGCAGAGAGGGAGGTCTTCCAGTCACCGGCTCATTCTCCAGATGTCCACACCGCCTACGGCTGGGCCAGGCTGGAACCTCTACTTGGACGATCTACTGCCTTCCCAGGCACATTGCGGGAAGCTGGCTTGGAAGCACAGGAACTCAAATTGGGGTTGTGATATGGGTAAGGGCATCCCAAGCAGGGGCTTAGCCTGGCATACCTCCACCTGCTCGTTATTTTAACAGATGTGTCTATGGGGTACAACGTGGCAGTCTGGTCCGTGGATTCAGTGTGTGCCAATCCCCTTCTCTCCCTGTCAGGACTCCGTGCTGGGAGTCTGAGCTCCTTGCTTGTAATTGCTTTCTTTTATAAACAAACATTTTGTGTTTGAAGCCACTATTCTTGGGGGCCGGCACTGTGGCAGAGCGGGTGACATCGCTGCCTGTGACACTGGCATCCTATATCTGCACTGCTTTGTGCCCTGGCTGCTCCACTTCCAATCCATCTCCCTGCTGGTGGCCTGGAAAAGCGCGGGGGAATGCCCACACGCTTGGGGCCCTGTATCCACGTGAGAGACCTGGATGGAGCTCTGGCTTCAGCCCGCTCCTGGTCTTTGCGGCCATTTGGGGAGTGAACCAGTGGCTGCAAGATGTCCCTTTCTAGCTCTCTTTCAAAGTAATTAAATCCAGGGGCCGGCGCTGTGGCACGGCGGGTTAAAGCCCCATCCTGAAGCACCAGCATCCCATGTGGGCACTGGTTTGAGCCCGGGCTGCTCCTCTTCCAATCCAGCTCTGTTACAGCCTGGGAAAGCAGAAGATGGCCCAAGTGCTTGGGTCCCTGCACCCACATGGGAGACTCGGAAGAAGCTCCTGGCTTCTGGCTTCTGATCTGCATAGCTCTGGCCATTGCGGCCAACTGGGGAGTGAACCAGCAAATGGAAGACCTCTCTGTCTCTGTCTCTCTGCCTCTCCTTCTCTCTAACTCCTGAATCAGACCTCTGGGGGCTGGGGTGGGGGTGCTTTAACAAGCTCTCGAGAGGACTGTGCCCCCGCCCAGAAACCTGGCTACTCCAGGCGTTGTCCGAGGCCCCACAGCTGCAGATGCCCAGTGCTGCCCAGACCTGCTGCAGCACAGACTGCAGTCTCACCAGGTGCCCGGGGGACGCGCAGGTTCGCTAAAGCCCGAGAGACACTGGCCAGGTGCTTCCCAGGGATCTGCCTGTGCTCCTAGAAGTAACAACGCAAATGCCTGTTACTCGTGGTCACGCAGACAGCACGATCTCTCTGCACCGGGATCGCTTGCAGCCTGTAGGTAGGGGGAACCGGCTCCCCTGCAGCTGACGGATGAGCAGGTGCACCCAGGGGCACTCAGTAACCTGTTCTCACTCACAGAGAGCCAGAACCCAGGCCATGCAGACCAGAAGCACCCTCCCCCCACTCCCCAGATGGGGCGGCTCAGCTCTCTAGGGAGACAGCCAAGATTCCTCCTCTTAATTGCAGCGTCTGCTGCTAACAAAGGCTGTAGGCTGGGAAAGGAATCAACTTACTACACAGTCGCTCGTTCCCAATTAGTGCAAATTATCATCTGCCTAATCCCCACCGCGCCAAGCTCCAGCCCTCCTTGCCACGCCTTGAAGAAGCAGAGGTGCCCGGGGACATCTGGGCCCAGCACCTGCTGGGAGCACCCCGGGGGTTTCTCCTGCCCAGCACCGGGTCCCCAGCCAAGCATCAGCCAACACTGGGCCCCAATCTTCAGCTCCACAAGGAAGGGCCGTGCCCTCTTCCCTGCCCCCAGCTCTCTCCCGGAGGCCTGGCTCCTGCTCTGGCCCGGAAAGCTGACAGGAGCCTTGATGATGGCCTTCAAGACCATGGCGGCCCATGGCTTGGTGGCAAGCGGGCAACCAGCAGGTGCTCTGCCCTCCACTTGGCTTCCTGACCCCTGAAGGGCTTGGGCCACACACTCCGCACATGCAGTTCCCTCTGCCTGGACGCCCTTCCCTCCCTCCCTCTGTCTGTCCGTCCATCCTTTCGATGCCTTCAGGCAGCGCCATGCTGATTCTTGTAACACGAAGAACAGCGGCTCTCACTTGTTGGGTACTTACCACCTTCCCTACCTGTGTTACCCGACTTAGCCACACAACACTATGCAAGGTACAACAGTTATTCCAATGTGGTTGATCAGGGAACCGGGACACAGAGAAGTTAGGTAACCTGTCCTAGGTCACACAGCCACCAAGTGGTACAGCCAGGACCCAGACCAAAGGGTCTGGTCTCAGAGCCCAACCTCTGGCTTCTGAGATGCCTGCGCGGCCGGCAAGGCCCCTGCGCTCCCTCTCCTACGCCAGCCTCCTCGCCAACACTCAGCACCTCTCTCCTCTGTTGACTGCGGGCTGAGGCCAAGGGCTTTCTATAAAACAAGCGCTTAGAGAGGCCCAGGACCCTTCCAGAAGCCCACAGAGATGCACGTCGTGAGCAAACTCTGCAAGTGACTCCAAGTTTTTTGCACCAAAGCAAACTTGCCTTTGAATTCCGTTCTCCCACCTTGTTCCCTGTATTTGCGGATGCTTGGGTACACAGCCCGGGCTCTTTCAAGACTGGGCTGACACCAACACCACTAACGCCCCTGGCTGCACAGCCACTGCTGTCCCTCGGGCCAAGAAGAGAGCTCTGGATTCCCTGCCCTGGGGCCCGAGCACCACTTGTGCATTCAGTAAGTGCTTACTGAGCACCTACTGTGTGCCAGTCACAGCTGCTGGGCCCACACTCCGCGGAGAAGCGGAGCCCACGCCAGCCCTCAAGGGCAGGCAGAGAGGCCATGTGAGGCCAGCTGTCCAGCAGAGCCCGGCCCGCAGTGGGCCCCCTGCCCCCGCCCCGGGCACTCACGGGCTTCATGATCCAGGTGATTCCCGGGTTTTTGCGAAACTCCTCCACGAACAGGTGGTACTCGCAGGGCAACTCAAAGGTCTTGGGGAAGAAGTCGCACTTGGCTGCCTCCGGCTTCCCCGCCTCGCGCTCCAGCTGCTTCCGGAACCGCTTCAGGTTCTTCACCATGTAGTTCTTGCGGGTCAGCTGGGAGGCAGGGCAGGCCGTGAGGGCCCCGCGGCCTCCCCGCCCCGGCTCACGAGACAGGAGCAGCGGGAGTGACCACACTCACACCCTCCTCCCAGGGGAGGAGACGGGGGCCCAGCTGCCCAGAGCTACCTCCCCCGTGCCCGTCGACTCCGAAGGTCACGTTCCTCACCCCAAGCTCCCTGCCACCCCCGTGGGAGACCCGGGTGGAGGTCCAGGCCCTTGGCTTCAGCCTGGCCCAGCCCTGGCTGTTGTGAGCATTTGGAAAGTGAACCAGCAGATGGAAGACGTAATCCCACCCTATGCCTTTCAAACAAGATGAAAATAAGCTTAGTTTCTTGAAGATGCACTTATTTGGAAGAGTTATAGACGGGGGGAGCAGGGTCAGGGAGAGGGATCCTCAGTTGGTTCACTCCCCAGGTGGCCACAACAGCTACGAATGGGCCAGGCTGAAGTCAGGAGCTTCTTCCGGGTCTCCCACGTGGATACAGGGGCCCAAACACTTGGGCCATTTTCCCCACTGCTTTCCTAGGTCGTTAGCAGGGAGCTGGATCAGAAGTGGAACAGCTGGGACACAAGCCAGTGCCCAAAGGGGATGCTGGAGTCGCAGGCGGTGGCTTTGCCTGCTATGGCACAACGCTGGCCCCAACAATTAAGTTTTTCTATTAACTACTAAGCTACACTAAGTAGCCACTGCTGAGCTAGCACTTTGCAAGCCTCCCCTCCCCCTCCCCCTCCCCCAGCCCACCTGTCTTTAGAAATCAAGCCTTCCCCAGAGACTACCGTCACTCCCCAAGCCTGCTGCTCCCTCAGTCCTTGCACCCCCACCAGCTTGTCTCTCACATGGCTGCTATTGAGGTCGCGACCCCAAAGCCCAAGGCCAGGACAGCCAACTCCCGCATCAGGCTCCGAGCCTCACACCCTCCCATGTAGCGTGGGTGGTGGACCCCACGTTCCCACAGGTTTTTCTACTCTGGCCCTTGTGCCCCTGAACGCTGCTCACGCCTGCCCCCAGTGTCCTGAGCAGACCCACCTCGTAGTGGTTCCGGAAGTGGCTGATGCGCACGCGCTCGTCCATGTAGGTGTGGTCGAAGTTCTCCCGGAGCCAGCTGACGTCGCACCAGTAGAAATCCCACTCCCCTTCACTGCGGGAGGGAGACGCAGAGTCACAGCCAGAGGACCTGGCTGCTGCTGGGCTCCGTGGCCCTTGGAGGGGCCTGCACGAGCGCACACACGGAGCGCCTTTAAGGGTCTTTGGGGGTCAGTTGTGGGCCGCTGCTGCTCACCTCTACTTTGTTAGAGTAGAGCAAGAGCTCGGCAAGGCGGACATGAAAATCCCGGCAGCTGGCTGCCCTTGAACGAGCAGCAGGTGCGCCCACAGCGCCTCCTGGCCTCGATGGGCAGGGCTGACAGCCGTCCGCAGCTCCCATCACTCGCTAGGGCAGGGGCCCACCAGCCACCCTCACCTGGTCCTGCTGCCGGCCTGGCCACCCCCGCAGAGGAATTAGGCAACATTTGCAAGCCCTTACCAGCCACCAAGCCCTCAGTGAATCCGCAGAGCTCTCAATAGGACGGACTGCTGGGGAGGACTCGCGCATGCCCCTGCCAGCCTCCAACTCCTGAGCCTGCTGTCCCCCACTGTGCTAGGGAGAGGGGCAGGAAACTAGACTCACCCACCAAATCTGGGTACCACTGCTGGAGAGCAGAGGGAAGGGGCTTGGAAAGATGCCACAGGAAAGAAAATGACATGGCCACAGTCGCCCGATTTTTTAAGTAAAAAATGACAGCTGTAACTGAAGGCCCCTGAATGTTTTTCTCTCCTGACCCAGGGGAAACCATTAATGGGAGCGTGGTGTGTCATTTCTATATGGGGCCTCTGCAGGATTGCTGCATGTGTGTGCCCAGACGTAGGATGTGGAGCTACGTGGCAGGTTTTTAGGCTTTCTAGGTGCTAGGCCCTGTCCTTAGGACTTTACAAATGTACCTCCTTTTTTTTTTTTTTTTTTTTTGACAGGCAGAGTAGACAGTGAGAGAGAGAGACAGAAAGGTCTTCCTTTGCCATTGGTTCACCCTCCAATGGCCGCCATGGCCTGTGCGCTGCGGCTGGCGCACCGCGCTGATCCAATGGCAGGAGCCAGGTGCTTATTCCTGGTCTCCCATGGGGTGCAGGGCCCAAGCTTGGGCCATCCTCCACTGCACTCCCTGGCCACAGCAGAGAGCTGGCCTGGAAGAGGGGCAACCGGGACAGAATCTGGCGCCCCGACAGGGACTAGAACCCGGTGTGCCGGCGCCGCAAGGCGGAGGATTAGCCTAGTGAGCCGCGGCGCCGGCTATCAAATGTACCTCCTTGATCATTATAGAAACCCTGGAGCCAGTGCTGTGGTATAGTAGGTTAAACCTCCGTATGGGTGCCGGTTCGTGTCCCGGCTGCTTCTCTTCTGATCCAGCTCTCTGCTATGGCCCGGAAAAGCAGTAGAAGATGGCCCAAGTCTTTGGGCCCTTGCACCCGCATGGGAGACCTGGAAGAAGCTCCTGCCTTCAGATTGGCACAGATCCAGCCATTGTGGCCATTTGGGAAGTGAACCAGTGCATGGAAGACTCTGTCTCTCTCTCTCTCTCTCACTCTGCCTCTCAAATAAATAAATAAATATTTAAAAATGAAAAAAAGAAACCCTAAGTGTTAGGTTCCATTATTACACCTGTTTTGCCTACAAGGAAACTGAGGCAGGCACAGAGATTAAAGAGCTCACTCACATTCATCTAGCTGGCAGGCGGCACAGCAGGACCTGAATTCAGGCCGCGGGCTCCGGAGCCCGGCCACTGTGGTCTCCTCACACACCTTGCTTTTTCTCAGCAACCTTTCGTTTGGGGGATCCAGCCCCTGATATCTGTGAGTCTCATTCTGCCTCCCCTCCAGCAAGTGGACGCGCCACAGTGCACACGCCTGTCTTCCTGTCACCAGGTGTCTGGCTGAGTGCCCTTCTTCCCATTACAAACACTGTGCTGAGCTTTGACACCTTGGAGGGGAAAGCTGAGCAGCACCTGGGCACGGCCAGGTGGGCGGGGAGGGGTGGGGTGGGGTGGGGTGGGGTGGGGGAGGGGGGGAGAGGAGATGCCAGGGCGCACTGAGGGTGGCGAGGCCGCATGGAGAAGCCTCGAGGTCCTTCTTGGGTTGAGCTCTGGAAGCGCCTCCTCTGAGTGGCCCCCAGAATGGATTCTTCCTCATCCTCATCCTCACTCTGGCCCCTGGTGTTGCAGAGAGAAGCCCCATTCCTGGCCACAGGAGCTGTGAGCTGAATGCCGTGTTGCCTTAGCAGCTAAGTTTTTTATTTTATTTTTTTTATGACTTATTTATTTGAAAGGGAGAGAGAGAGAGAGAGAATCTTCCATCTGCTCGGTTACTCCCCCAAATGTCCATAACAGCCAGGTCTGGGCCAGGCTGAAGTCAGGAGCCAGGAATCCATCCGGGTCTCCCACACGGGTGGCAGGGGCCCGAGCACCTTGGACGTCACCTGCTACAGCAGTAGCAGCTGGAGAAGTCTGGGTTGTGGCTGGAACTCCCTTAGGGATTTTCAAGGAAGCAGAGTGCAGATTAAACCGCTCCTCAATTCCCAGATTCCCCTGCACACGGTGGGGCCCCTGAAGGCAGCAAGGCAGGCCCCGCCTCAGGTGGAGCTCAGGGGTGGGGAGGTGGGGGGTGATGGAGAAGCGTTCTCAGTCTCCTGCAGGGGGCGTTGTGTGGGTGACACCTCCCAGCACACAGGCCCCCATCACAGCCACAAGCCTCAGTCTGCCTTTTAAAAGGTTAACAGCCATGTCCCTATTTTAACATTGACTGGAGGGGCCAGTGCTGTGGCATAGCGGGTAAAGCCACCGCCTGTAGCGCCGGCATCCCATATGGGTTTGAATCCCAGGTGCTCCACTTCAGATCCAGCTCTCTGCTATGGCCTGGGAAAGCAGTAGAAGATGGCCCAAGTGCTTGGGCCCCTGCACCCACCTGGGAGACCCAGAAGAAGCTCCTGGCTTCGGATTGGTGCAGCTCCAACTGGGGAGTGAACCAGTGGATGGAAGACCCCTCTCTCTCTCTGCCTCTGTCTTTCAAATAAATAAATCTTAAAAAAATATATATTAACTGGAATAAACGGCATAACTATCAAGACAAACCCGTCACTCTACATATAACGTCACGAGCTCCTCTATTTAAGTACAACACTGAGTGGATCTTGCGGAAAATCCAAACAGCACACGGCACGCACAGATGGCGATGCAGCCAGGAGCTACCTGCTTCGCAGCGGCACCCTGAGTTATTAATGAAACCCCGGGCCTGGTCCCTCTCCAAACCTCCCCTGGGGCCACGCCGCAGGCACAGCAGTGGTGAGGGCTGGCTTCCGCAGTCAGATGGAAAGCTGCCGGAGACAGGCCCGCTGCAGCCAACGCTGGCCGGTGCACTGGGGCCTCCTCCAGGCGCCTCGGCCCCGTTCCCCCCAGGGCCTGCTCTGAGCCAGGTTCCGCTGCACAGGCACCCCCGGCCCTGAGTCAGGAGCCCTGGCTTGGCTCCTGCCGCCTCGGGGACCCGCGGTCTTTCCTGAGAGTCAGCTTCCCCTACGTGGGACGTCCAAGAGTGAAAACTTCTGGTTGGGATTGTGGACTCCCAGGAGCGAAACTGACATTTAATTGCTAGATGGACGCGGGAGAGAAGTGTTTCTTTATAGATGGAGCAGGAACCCCTGAGTCAGAGTCGCCGTTTCAGTCAGTGTAGCAATAATAACAGATTCAGGCCAGACTCCTCTAAGATCTGAAACCTTGCTGTAAAGTTCACTGATCCTGCGGCAGGTGCTGTGGCAACCTGGGTGAAGCTGCCACTTGTGACACCGATGTCCCACACAGAGTGCCGGGTCAAGCCCTCACTGCTACAAATCCAATCCAGCTCCTTGCTAATGCACCTGCAAAAGAGGCAGAAGATGGCCCAAGCACTTGGTCCCTGCCACCCACAAGGGAGACCGGAAGGAGTTCCTGGCTCCTGGCTTCAGCCTGGCCCAGACCTGGCCATTTGGGGAGTGTCTCTCTCTCTCTCTGCCTTTCAAATAGCACAAAAATAAAAAAAAAACCAAGTCTGTTGATATTTGCATAGTATGTATTAAGTACAAATCAGAAGAAGAGGGCTGGGCATTTGGCCTAGCAGCTGACACCAGGTTCAGATGCTCGCATCCCCTACGGGAGTGTCTTGGTTCAATACTCGCCTCTGGCTCCTGATTCCACTCCCTGCAGAAGTTGGCTTTCTGCCACCCAAATGGGAGAGCTGAATTAAGTTCGCAGCGCTCAGTTTCAGCCCCAGCTGGGGCAACTGTAGGCATCTGGGGTGTAAGCCAGCAGATGGGAAATCTCTCTCTGCCTCTCAAATATTTTTAAAACAAATTTTTTTAAAAAAGAAGAAAGCTCATTTTCATTGCAGAAGCCTGGCAGGCAACACCTTCACTGGTCATCTGGGTAACATTCCAGAGACAGGTTGGCATCACGAACCCTGACGTGGTGCCCCGGGAAAGGGGCGGCGGCACTTCCATGCCTTCCTGCCAGAATGCACAGCCTTGGGACGAGAAAATGCCAGATGAACCCAAAGTGCGATCGCTCTGCAAAATGCCCGGACAGAACTATCAAGGTGTCAGGGTCACAAAGGGTGAGGAAAGACCGAGGCACGGTCGTGTATTTGAGGTGATGCAGTCAACTAACTGCAGGGGGAATCCTGGACCGGACTCCGAAACAGAGAAAGGATACTCGGGGAAAACCAGTGAGATCCAAATGATGTCTCCAATTCAGTTCACACTAAGTAGCAGTGTTAATTTCCTAACTCGGACAAGTCCATTAGGATTACAGGAGCAGAGGAAACCAGGTGAAGGCACTGACAAGGGGGCTGTGCACTACAGCTGGCCCGCCTTCCTGCAACCCTGGGTGGAAAATACTGGGAGAAGAAGTCACATCTGCGGTGAACACGAACATATTTTTTTCCCTCGTTGTTATGCCCTACGTGACACCGAACAGCAGCTACTTCAATAGCAACATCTCGCACCAGGCGGCGTAAGTCATCTAGGGATGAATTAGAGCATACAGGAGGGGCTGGCGATGCGGTGCAGTGGGTTAAGCCAAGCTT